CATGCTCAAATCATGAAAAAAAATTACTACTTCTAATAGAGACTAACCTATCCATTAAAGCGTCTTCAAGGAGAGGGGTGACGGCGTAAATGTAATCTTTGCTCATCTCGCCGATGTACTCGAACATAAACGCCAGCGACTTGAGCACGCCATTTTGCACATTCAGCTCTGGAACTCGGTATTCGTTCATTAAACCGGGCAGTACCGTGAAAGGAGAGCAAGTCTCAGCAACGATAGCAATAGCAACTGTGGTACACACACGATTTTGACGCTCCTGCACCTTCAGATTGTTTAGGAGAGTAGCAAGTACGTCATGCGGACCGATAGCTTTAGCAATATATCCGAAGGTATTAACTGTGGCACGGCGAATGGACTTCTTGTGGGCTTTGATTAATTCCAACAACTCGAAGCAGATGCGCATCCACTCGCGTGAAGAGACATATTCAGATCCACGGTCAGCTATTCTACCCACAAGATCAATACAGTTCTCCTCGACCTTTTCGTGTCTTAAAAACGTCAAAATGGAACCACAACTTCAATGAGAAGGAGGAAGGAGAGGGAAAAAAACGTATCGGATAAGAGACCTAACTCACCGATTTTTTAGGATAGGCGTAAGACGTGGAAGGAGCTCCTTGATGGGGGGGGTCATTTTTGTCATACCAATTACATTGACAATGCTCTTGAGTGCGCCTAGAATAGATCCAAGAACTTCTGGATACTCCTCGCCGAGGTATTCGTATAGCACAACACCCAGGTGGCCCATGAGCTTCTCCTCCTGACAAACCTTCATGACACCGGCTATGCGACTGATCAAATCGGCCGCTTGCTGACGGACCTTGGCTGACTTATTGTTCAAACGCCAGAGTATGGTACCGCATATCTGAGGTAGGTAGGGTTTCACACGCTTGCCTAGAGCCTGAACAACCGTCCCGAACCCAGTCAATAAGACCGCATCCTAGAAGATAGGAGATAAGAGGTTGTCATAAAATACATCGATGCCGGTTTATACCTAATGATGCAATAATCTGCAGAAGCCTTTAGAAGAGACTCGTTGGACGATCGAAATGTTTGGAGGTCAAGCTTAATAAAAAGGACGAAATTGACCATCTTAGTTAGCTCACTCTAAATAAATGGATGTTTAGATAAAACAATGCCCTTACCCGGACATATGGCTCAGACACGGCATACTATCAACTGAATGACCGTATACGATTGGATTGACATTTACTTAAATGACACCAGAGGTGATTGCTAGAAAACAACTTGTTAACTCAAGGGCTGCTCTAGGTAGAGAGCATTCAAGAGCCAGTGCAACTATAACACTTCGTGAAAACCCAACCGACAATACGAACGGTTCGTTCAAGTCTACGACGTGATGCGCCTAGTGCATTAACATCTATCCAACTTGAATAAAGCCATAGCGAAACCAACTTTTACAAGATATAAGCTGTAAAAAAGATAAAATAGCCTTAAAAGGGGATATGACAGTGCTGAATTAGAATTCACTGACACGACTATAAGTCTGCCTATTTGAGGTGCATGGGAAATTGCACCATACAGTGATGGAGACGCAGTTAATAAGCAGAGAACTGCACTAGAGCAACAAAATTTGTGAGCAAAAGAAGGCCCACATTTGTGGAATGAAGATCCAAAAGACATCTCGTGTTAACGGGTAGTTTCACTAGAACAAATTATCGTAGATCGCACTCGTATCAAACACATAAATGGCATCCGCTTACCATTGGCCATAAACTGAAAAATTTCAGCTATTTATGGCGCTACTGATTATATCAGGTTCAAAAATGTTTGAAGGCTGCCGACCAGTAGACGTGATAAAAACCATCCCAGATACCACTATGACCTTTTGGTTTATCGAGGGAGTCAAGAATATTAGAACATACCTCGGTAGTCTGCTCTTGGAAGGCGTAGAGAATGCCGTCAATCAACTGCTCCTCCAACCTAGCATCGATTTCATCGCTGCCCAGAGCCGACATGACCTTCTCAATAGTCTCCATAACCATTTTACGATACTGCTCCGATTCGTCTTTCAAGTCGTCAACAATACGTGTGATAATCTCAGTGGCACCTACCTTTGTTGCGATTTCCACGGTGGTGTCTACCAGCTACAATAAGCAACAACGTCAGATTGAAGTGATGTTAAGAATTTCGAAATCCAGCTCCTTAATCACCTACCGGTCGGTAGTTGCGCCGATCAAGAGCCATGCGCTGATTCCAAAAATGTCGGAAAAATGGAGGCAGAATTTCGTTGCGAATGTATTCAGGTTCGACACCTTCAGTAGCACAACACTGTTTTACCACTTTCAAAACTATCTTCTTCATCTCCTCATCGGGTGAAGGAAACTCTCGAATCAGTACTAGCATAACCTCTCTCGTGTAATAGTTGGCGTACTCTGCGTCCATAAGAGGAATCAAATAACCTATAGCTTTTAAGAAGGCGGCGAGACCCTAAGCAAAAGAAACAGAGGTAATCGGATTTGGTGAATCATGGGATGAGATTTGAACAGAAGCGGGAACTTACTTTACCGCGATGACTACGAATACCCTTCCAAAGGGGCTTGAGAACGGAATCAAAAGACTCGATACCGTAGGGTGTCGCCGCTTCAGCTAGAGCAGCAAGAGCAAGAGCCGTAATAGTGCGAACTTTCTGCTGTTCATCGACGAGACCATGTTCGATAATCTCAACGAGGGAACGCAAGTGAGGCAAGATGGCACACCCCATAAGAATAGAAATCTGCTGCACTATCTTGATCCCCGTGTGTCGTGCCTGCCACGATTTCTTCGATTTACAGACAGCCTGCAAAAAAGAGCAGGGCAATGAGAACACAGAGCATAAGAGGTGATAACACAGAGAAATCGATGAGCGTACCTTCAGGAATGGCAGGAGACTAGGGATGCCGAGAGCAGAAGCCACAACAGCAAAAGCACGAGCAGTTGTATTTCGCACGTACTCGTCAACGTTGTCAATATCCGGTCGCATTGTCGAAATCATAGTCGCCAAGCCTGCAGCCTAGAAAATAAAATAATGAGAGAAATGAAGTACGCAATAAAATTCAAAGGACAGGACATACCTTTGCCAGATTAGAAATGATTTCACGACCCTCGACACGGGCATAATAATCCTCATCGATAAGGAGAGGCTCAATAACGACCAAAATCTTGTGCACATAAGGGCGAACTAGATCGTCTAATTTGTACAAAATGCGGTCTATGACCTTGACCAGTAAATGCCGTTCTTGATCCTCTAACGTTGGCGACATCAAGAGAGGAAGGATTTGATTGAACAAGGGTCCCGCACCAAACTCGCGTGCCTTGTCCGTAATTTGACGGAGAGCCGACTTGCGCATCGGCGGTGTGCCATTTTTGATTTTTAAAAGAAGAGTCATAATTTTGCGCTCAGTTGCTTCTTCAGGAGGCAAATTATCTTCATCGACGTCCTGAAGCAGTTTATCGAAGTACTGAAGATCGTCAGGGCGCATCATTGGCAAATTATTGCCCTTTGGTTGTAAATCGCCCAGCGCCACTGCATTTGCTCCCATTGCAGCCGATCCAATACCAGCAGCAGTACCGACATCGGGCGTGGTCATATGGAAGCCGAAGGGTGTACCAGCCACAGGAGTCGGCGTCGCCAACAGTCGACGGGCTGGTGTACGCAGAGGAACGTATCCAGCAGGGGGAGGAAGAATCTTGTAGCCTGGAGGCAACATCTCATCCAATTCTTCATCGGTCAGTGGCCGATTCCGGTCATCGATTTCTTGTTGCCACTGTACGGCCCGCATCTGTTCAGGTGTCATTGGAATACCTGTGCCCGGGACTGTGCTGGCAATACCGAAAGCTGGAGTCGACATGGACATAGCTTTTGGACCAGTGGGTGTGGCGCCAGAAGGAGTAAACCCGAGACCAGGGGTACCCATTGCCGGGGTTCCCATAGACGGCGTAAAACCACTCGGAGTAGCACCACTGGGAGTTACACCGCCGAGCGGAGTAGCGCCAGCTTTCATCGGCGTCTCATCCCAACGCGACTTGCGTTTGGCTATTACGGCTGCGGCTGTGTTTGGGGTCTGACCAAAGGCTTTGTAAGCGGAAGAAGGTGTATCCTGAATCGAATTAACACCGCTCGGAGTCTGATCTGCACGAGGTGTTTCTGCCCACCCAGCACCATGACCAGGAGTATCTGCGCCATAACGCTCTGAGTGAGGTGTCTCGTCCCATCTATTCTTACGAGCGCTTGGTGTACCCTGTGAATATTCAAGATTGGGTCAGAGCGACGCAATACATCGCCTGAAAAGCAGGAAAAGGCTTACAGCTAACGGATCGCGACCAGGGGTTGCCGCACTAGGTACATAGGCTGGGGTCTCGGCCCACTGTCGCGAGCCCGGGGTGGCAGTGGGATCCCGAGGTCGGCCAGGAGTTTCTTCCCATTGGCGACTACTAGGAGTCGCCACGCTGCCTGGCGTACCTAATGGCTGAATCGGTGTTGCAGCCTCATCCCAACGTTTAGCTGTAGCATCCTTTGAGACGGTACCATTGGTGTCAGCAGAAGGCTGATCCCAACGACGACGTTTGACCGGGGGCGCGGGGTCTACCATTTTCAATTCCCCTGCCTTAGCCTTGGCGACGATTTCCGCGCGCAGAGCACGTTGTTCCTGTGTGAGCTTTTGATTGAGCATAACATCTTTGTAAGTACTAAGCCTTGGATCAGGAGTCTTATCGCCTGTGATAAATGGGCAGAGAAAATAAAAGAAATAAGATAAACTCAACCGAAGGACAGCGTTCCCATGATGTGAGGACAGTTCAAGTTAAAGGAGAGCATTAAAGTATGAAGATGTCATACAATCCAAAGACTACCGTGACACCTACCATCACCAAAGCTCTGAGGCCGATGTTACTCATGTCAACGGGCGCAAATCTATAAAAAATCGAGTTTAGCATGCAACTAAATATAACTATTGAACTTGGATGCGCAAAATTATTTCACGAGGATGCAGTACGTATCGACAATAACTAACAGAAGAAAAAGAAAAATTAGCCACAGATCTGAAAATGACACGCAGGATTATACTGCACATACCATCTTTAAAAGGGTCAGCACGAACAGGAGACAAGACGGCCTTAAGCCGTTGAGCATGGTATTCATCCTCCCGGTCGGCAATAACTTTGCGTCTGATTTCAGGTTCTAAAAGGAGCCTAATGAGTAAATGAGCTCTTACCCTCCGCCATTATAAGCTAAAATCAAATGCAGCGCGACTCGTAAAGGTACTTATGAGACACAAATTTAAGAAAATTGTAATTACGACCAAAACTTATGAAAATAAACAAAACATAATGATTGATGCAGTCAGCAGGAAATAAGTTCTATTTTGTAACTCGATGCTCGATTTGCATTTGCAAACGCGTTGACAAACATGGGTCACGAAAAAAATGCTAATAAATTAAGCAAAGCGGCATTCATTGCTTGGATAATTTTGTAACATTGGGTATACTGTTTATGGTCGCTATTATTTCTAAGTAGAGTAAGTTTGAATTCTGTGATTTACTAAGACTTTTGCTCAAAAATTGTCATTATTTCCGAATATTTAGTAACTAACAGAATATACTGTTGGTATTTTAGATTTTTTGAGTCCACAATAGTTATACTTTAGCCATTATTGAATTGTTATAAAAATGTGCAAATCTTAACTTAACTTACTCATTGTTCAGAATTTCTGCTGTCTATATTCCCCTTAATCAGCTCGACCATACCAAAGCTGGCTTCCATTGGAGACAATCAATCAGCTACTGGCGTTCTTTTAAAGTAGTTTGTCTGCACTGTTTCCATTTAGTCCAAATCGAATGGTTAGTCTAGATTTGTTAAAGATGGTTGTTTTCAGTCTACCAATACGAAAAAGTCTTCCAACTCTTCGCTTCTCAAAAAGAAAAGTGATGGCAACTTTCGAGCTAATGCCATGGAGGTTTGACTACTCCTTTCGCATTTGTTCCTTTAGACTCAAGAAATACAAGAGGCATTTGAACTTTTTGACGTTGACAAAACTGGGTACATAGACACGAAGGATTTGAAGGTTGCCATGCGTGCTCTAGGTTTCGAACCAAAAAAAGAAGAAATTAAGAAGCTAATAGCTGAGTATGATCCTGAGGGGAGAGGTGTCCTTTCCTTTTCTGATTTCCTCAGGATGATGTCCCTAAAAATGCAAGATAAAGATGCTCGTGAAGAGGTTTTAAAGGCATTTAAGCTGTTCGATGATGATGAAACCGGTGCGATTTCGTTCAAAAATCTGAAACGCGTTGCTAAAGAATTGGGAGAAAATCTTACTGATGAGGAATTGCAGGAAATGATTGACGAGGCAGATCGCGACGGCGATGGTGAAGTGAATGAGGCTGAATTCCTTCGCATCATGAAAAAGACTAACATGTACTGAAGGCGTGAAATAAGTCTGATTCAGACTAAATTCGATCCAAATCCACTTGTTTAATAATGATTTTCCTTAATTTGGCGTTAAAGATCTCTTCTGCCTTCATCAGTCATTGCCACTTTTGTAAGTCACCAACGCCTCGAGAGCGCTTCCAGTTTCATGTAGTTCCTTTTACAAGTAACATCGATGAATGTTGGCAGAGTAGAGCTTTGTTCTTAACGTTCAGAGAGACAAATGGTAGGACGTGAGGTTATTTCTATCTGACAACCTGAAGGCAGTTTCATCGGTTCACGATTGTAGGCATTGGACTGGTGTAGCTGTAGAACGAAACATTTACCATTCGTACATCACGCAATCGAAATGCTGCCTCGAGTATAATAACTAGTCATTGAAGCGTTGATGCAACGTTAGTTTTGCTGTACGTAACCGTTTTATATCTTTGTTCAATCAATCTAGAGTGTAATGATCCTGAGCAGACATACCTTTAGGTAAGCTTCAGTATAAAACCTAGGTCGTGCAGAGTAGACTTCCAAGTTGAACTCCAAAATCTCCAAACCCGTCTTCCAGTTCTAGGTCGCATTGTACTTTTCTAAATGCGGTAAATTTTGCTTCAGACAAATCCAGATCCTTCCATTTTATAATTACGGGATTTCCAGAAAGTCATTTTAGATTCCATGCTTTGCTCGATCTAGAAGGAGTGGTTTTACTCATGAACATTAAAAAGCCAGCTTCTTTGCAACTTTGTCTGGCTATTGCAGAAAAACGGGCTTGTAGAATAGGACAAACTTGACATGCCCCTTATGGTAATAAATCTCACGAGCACTAGTGTTAGTAACTTTCTCAACGGTTTACCAACATCTAGGAGCGCCGAAGAAGTCAAACTGTAGGATCGTCATTCATCAGTCTTTTCAGTCATCCACTCATTTTTGGAAAAAATTTCC